GGACCCCCCCGGGCGGTCGCGACTGTGCTTGGGGGTGGGGCGGGGGGCGATCGGAGCCCAGGTCGTCCCACTGCCGCGCCCCCAGTCCCTCCCTACAGCCCTAGGCTTCGCTTCCGGCCACAGCCCCGTGTCACCTGCAGCTCCACTGCCGTCCCAAGCCCAGGCACTGGCACACACCATCCCCCTGCCGCGGATGGGAGCCGGGCTCTCGGGACTCAGGGTCTCCGGGCCTCGGGGTGGGGGTCTCCGGCCAGTCTCGGTTCAGTGGACCCACGTTGGGCGCTTCACCCTTGGGACAGGAGGAAAGGGCGGCAGGCGGCTGGCACCGAGGCGCATCCCGGCCCACACCCTAAAACCTTTGCTCTTCTCCAGCCAGGCTCCCTAAAACGGTCGGTCCGGGACAATGGAATACGGGGTGACACTGAAACCGCAGGGAGGAAGGAAAGGAAGCGAGACCCGATTTAATGTTCTTTCCAGGCAGGAGCAAAGCATAAGAAACAATAAAATCCAAGCCCCGCCCTAGCAGGCTGTGAGTGCAGGAAGAGAGGTGGGTAGCAAACCTAACAGTCACAGTCCTAACCCTTGTCTGAAGGCGCAGGGCAGCTCCAAGCGATGAATAGGAGTTCTCTGGGCAGATACAGAAGGGGTTATTCCAGGTGGCGGAACAGCTTGTTCAGCGGCGCAGGGACCTGAAATAGCAATTGCTTTAGGGATGGGGCGGGTGCCGGGGTGAGGCTGACACTCTGGGCCTGCGGTTCAGAGGGAGGAGGCCTAAGGCGGGAGAGTTGGCCAGGCCAGGGGCTGGACTTTGTCCTGAACGCTGGGGGTTGGGGGACAGGCAGAGGAGCAGAGCAAGGCTCCTCCTACCCCATCCCCTGGGTTCGCACTCCCCACCCAGGCTGCACCTTAGCTCTGGGCCTGGCTCCCTCCCTCCCTCCCATCAGCCCTGGTTTCAGTTAGGGCTGCTGTGTTTGTTTGAGTGGCCTGGAACAGACCATTTTATCCGTTTGGGTCTTCATTTCCGCTATGAAATGTGCTCAGCCAGGCCTGGTGTGTGCCTGTAATCCCAAAACTCAGGAGGCTAAGGCAGGAAGGTGGCCTCCAGTTTGAGGCCACCTTGGGCTACACAGTGAATTCAAGATCGGCCTGAACTTCAGAGCAAGACCCTGTCTCAGAAACCGAAATAGTAACAAAGCAGTGCTTGTCTCTGCCTCATTCCTCCTTTCCCTGGGTCAGAGAGGAGCAGGGCCCACAGGCGGCCTGCCTGTTCTGAGCAATCAGTCCATCCCAAGGCCAGAAATTAGCTCACTTGTGTCCCTTGCCTCTGTCCCACCCCGCTCCAGTCCTCTCAGCCATGCCTACCAGGCTTCCAGAACCACACTGGAGGGCTAAGACTGCTGGCGTTTGTCCTGGACCTGCCCAACCTCCTCGCACCTGCTCTGGACCTCAGGTTCCCCACTCAGAATGGAATAACTGCAAGTGTTGGGGGAGGGTGGCAGGCAGGCCCCTGGCCCCAGGACAATCCAGTCTGGTTTCACCTCCTGGGGACAGAAAGGGCAGACCCCTCTGTCACTCCCAGCCCCTGCCAGGGACATCCTGTGCCCGGATGATGTCACCAGACCCTGGGAAGCTGTGGCTGGAGCTCACAGGTTTATTTTTAAACTCTCCAGCCTCGGCTGCCTCCCCACCCCCACCTCCCCATCCTACCCCACCTCGCCCTGCCTGACCCAGTTTCCACACTGCCCATCCTGGAGATGATGGGGTACAGAGCAGAAGCTGAGTGTCTCACTGGACCCAGACTCAAAGGAAATGGAGGGCTTCTGCAGAGGACCCCTCCAGGGCCCACCCAGACGCTGAAAGAGTACGAGGGGTCCTCGCATGGGCTGTGGACCTCTGCGACCAACCCCTGGCTGGGTCTTGCATGGGGCAGTCACCAAAGCTTGATTTGAACTCTTTTCAGGGATTTGAGACAGGGTCTTGTTGGCCTCAAACTTGTGATTCTTCTGCCTCAGGCTCCTGAGTACTGGATTACAAACTTGTGCTATCAAGACTGGCTTTGTATTAGTTTTTAAAGTTTTTTTTTTCCTTTTTGTATTACTGATTGAACCCAGAGCCTTTGCACTGAACTATACCCACAGCTCTTTTTGGTTGTTTTTGTTTTTATTTTGTTTTGTTCTTTGACACAGGGTCTCACTAGGTAGTTCAGCCTGATCTTTTCTTTCTTTTTTGGTGGGGGGTACTGGGTATCGAACTTGGGTCCTTTCACTTAGCGAAGCAGGCGGCAGAACCACTGAGTTAAATCCCGGCTCCTGATCTTTTCTTTTCTTTTTTTTTCTTTTTTTGGTACCTGGGATCAAACCTGGGACCTTGCACTTTCAAGGCAGGTGGCAGAACCCATGAGCAAAATCCCTGGCCCATTGCCTTGATCCATTCTTTGAAAGTAAACAGGAGTCTTAAAGTGTCTATGAATGTAATCAGTGATAGCCTTAAAATGAAAATAATGTAATGTCATCCTTATTCTAGTGAATATAATGGCACTCAAAATGTTTGCAACACATCTGTAGTGCTCACATTATAAACTTTAAATGCAATACTTTGAAGAATATATTCATAATTTTCTAAAAAATCCCCAGCCCAGTTCAGGCTGATCATGAACTCACTTTGTAGCCTAGGCTGGCCTTGAACTTGTGGTAAACCTCCTGCTTCAGCCTCCCTAGTGCTGGGATCACAAGCATGCACCACCGCGCCCACCTGCCATTCTTTTTTTTTTTTTTGTTCTCTTACTTTGAGACAGTGCCTCACTAAGTTGCTAAATTGCCTAGGCTGGGCTTGGACTTGTGATCTTCCTGGCTCAGCTTCCCAGACTGCTGTGATTATAGGCCCATAAGATTTGAGACGGGGTCTTGCTACATAGCCCCAGCTATGTGCCCAGTTTAAAAACTCCATTTCTTGACATTTTGGTTCAATGCTGCACCTAGAAGGTCGGAGACTGGAGATCAGATGGTAAGAATGAGCCCTAATTGGCCTCCTCTGCCTCCAGGAGCACTGAGAAAGACAGCTAATACGCTGCAGGGAAAAGTAAAAACACCCAAGGTTAAGTTGTTTACCTGGAGAAGTACGGCCAGGGTGGGAACAGATGAATCCCGTGGAACCCTAATTGCTCCTGCTGTGTCTGAGCAAAGCCGAGGTGTCCCACTTATTTGGGGCTTTATGTCAAAGGGAGACATGATTGCCCTGCCACCCCCCATTTTAACTTGTTTCTGTGACCATTTTTCACCTTCACCCCTTGGTCAGGTTCCAGTTCAGCTAAGTAGTCTGGTTCCTCTGAGACCCAGATGCACACAGATCTGTCTGAATCCTGCCTGTAGCTCTCTGTAGCCGGTGACCTTGCCCAAATAATTTTCTCTTTTTCTCAGACTTCTCACTATAAAATGTGCCTGAGGTGAGGTGGGACTCTCTGGGAGGAATCAGGCTGACGGGGTGCCTGGAAAGTGCTGAGCACCAGCACTGGGTTTGATGTCTAGTGAGTGCTCCACCAAAGACAGGTCCCATTAAAGGAACTTACTTACCAGGCAGCTACCGTGACTGCCCATGCGATACAGGCCCTGCCCCCAAGTCCAGAGGTTTGGAGGAAGCTGAGTGAGACAGTAACTGAGGCAGGAGGATCAAAAGTTTGAGCCCAGCCTGGGTAACTTACTTAGTAAGACCGTGACTCAAAATAAAAATTTGAAAGAGGATGGAGTGTATCTCAGTGCTAAGGTACTGATTCCATCCCTTATATTCCTGCAGTTTAATCCCTGTCACCCTTCACCTTGTGGCAGGCATAGTCGCCAGTGACCTTGACTGGATGGCAGCTGCCCTGCTCCTTTAGGGAGGAAGAACCCGGGGTGGGGGCTGAATGCAAATGTATGCAAATCGCACACAAACACGGAACCGTGGAGGAGAGAGAGAGAAAATGTGCAGCACCCGGGGCCTGGAGGGGGTGGTCCTGATGCGGCCAGGGCGCTGCCCTCGCTGTTGACTGAGCCAGCAGGTACTCTGCTCATGTTCCTGGCTTGCTGATGAGAGCCCCTGGTGCCCTGGGTCCCTGGTGACAGGGCTCCTGGGAGTGGACACACACACAACACACACACTTCCTCTGACCCTGCCACCCAGGATGCCCACAGATGCATCAGCGCACCAATGCTCAAACACAGACGCAGGGCATTTCAGGTCACCGCTGTGGGGGAGGTGAGGCTCCAGAGACCTTGCTGCCTGACTGAGCAGGATACTGGGGTCCCAGAGGTCCCTGGTTTCCTGTCCTGCCTCTTCCTGACCCCCACACTGCCCACCACTCAGGGAAGCCCCCCAAAAGCCCCTCAGCCTCATGATATTTCAGGTCTGCCTTGATACCCCCACTCAGGGCTTCAGACTTTTTTGTTTTCTTTTGTGATACTGGGGATTGAACCTTTGCACTGAGCTATATCCCTAGCCCCAAACCCCCACCCTTTTTTATCCCTAGCCCTTAAGAAAACACCCCCCCACCCCACCCCGAGAGACACTAAATTAAGTTGCCTGGCTGGGGTTGAATTTGTGATCCTCCTGCCTCGGTCTCCCAGAATGTTGGGGTTACAAGGTCTGTGCCACCACACCCAGTTTACTATTTGACAGGAGGAAACTGAGGCTCAGGGCCCTGCTTGTCAAAAGCAGGCAGGACTAGAAGATTGGCTCAACCAACAGGCTCCGAGCCCGAGGCCTCCACAGGGCCCTCATCACAGACCTTTGCTCCACTGGGCCTCTTCCTGCCACCCTCTGCTGCACAGTTCCCTCCCTCTGGGGACAGAGCCTGCAAGTTCAGGCCAGGGGAGCAGCAGCCCTTTTCCTCCCAGGGCCTGCGGGCACCCTAGACAGCAGCTGCAGTAGGCTTGGGAGGCAGGCAGGGCAGTGGCTGGGTTAGCTGGTGCCCCAAGGCGCCACCTGGCACGGAAGACCAGGGAGCTTTGCTGAGAGGACAGATTAGGAGGCCTGACTGAGATCACTCCCCAGGGCCCATCTGCAGCACCACCTGGTGGTGACCTGGCCATCCTGACACAGCAGGGCTGGCGCCGTTGGCCCCCACCCACCCAGAGGTTCCACAGACATTTAGTGAGTGCCTACTACGTGCCAGGCACAGGCCTAAGTCCCAAGAGGAAGGGAGGCCAAGGAGATGTGGGGAGAGGAGAGGGCAGGTGGAAACTTCAATGGCTCTGAGATGGTAGTGGTGGTGCAGGCCTGTAATTCCTGTACTCTAGGAGGCTGAGACAGGAGGGTCCCAAGTTCAAGCCCAGCCTGGAGAACTTAACGTCTTTAGGAAGACCCTGTCTCAAAATTAAAAATAAAAAGTTCTGAGGATGTAGCTCAGTGTGAAGGCTCTAGATTCAATCCCAGCACCTGATAAATGGTAGGGCTCTTAATTTTGAAGAGATGTGGTAGCAGCAGGTTTGGAGGCAACTAGAACCATCTTTGGCAAAGTAAGGTCAAGATTCTGCATGGGTTCCAAGTGGAGGTGCCAGGCAGGTAGAAGAACATAGGAACAGGCTCAGGGCAGAGGTGCAGGCTGGGGAAGCACATTTGGAAGTGGTCCGGGTGTGGACAGGACTCCTGCCCCATGGCTGGTGGATAACCCAGGGAGCCAGGGTAGACAGGCAGAGCACCAGGGTGGAGCCCAGCGTCCTCTGACCTCGGTGTGGGAGATGGAGCAAGCAGCAGAGGAGACAGCTGGAGCAGCCCAGAGGGAGGGGACCCTGGAGCCCAGCAGAGGGAGCATTTCTGGGGGAGGCTGAGTCCCATGAGGCTCAGGGAGATGTCCCTGAGCAGTGACCCAGCTGATGTGGGGACTCTGAGGAGGATGACTTCTGCCCAGCGGTGTCAG